TTGGATAGATCTAGAAAAAAAACCATTTTCCCAATTTTATTTGCAGCTCATCACGTGAATAATGGGAGGGAGCTTTTTTTTTTCAAAAGAAGGCATGTTTGGATGCTTTCCTTGTAAACAAATTTCTCCAAATTCTCTCATGTGTTTCCTTGCATTTTTTTTGGTGATGTGTCAAGTGGTCATTGGTTAATAAGGTTAACTGAAGATAAGGATCCAAGTATCCTCTGATTGGGACCATTGATTAAATTGGTCTAATAACCCAGATTAATCACAAAGAAACACACCTTTCCTTTAGATATTACTATAATTTAAAATGAAGTTTAATTCAACTCGTTTTTTTAAAAATAGGACAACTAAAACCCAAACGATTATTTAAATAATTCTATTTATTTATATTGAATCTTTTGATAAAAAAAATAAAAAATAAACGGACTCAAACTGAATAAAAGTCGGGTGTGAAAGTGTTCGAAAAAAAAAATGATTGCACCAAAACTCTCAACGCGAAATAAACGACTCAGAAAAATACAGTGTTTGACCAAATTTCAAAATAAATTTTCCTAGGTTAAAAGGCTCAGACTGATCAAAATGCGACCGAAAAAGTAGTTGAAAAGTTTAAGTGAATGCACCAATATGATCAACGTGAAAAACAGAGGTGTGAATAGCAAAAAAGTGGGCCTAATGCACTAAAGCCTAGCCGAATTTGGCAAGGGAAGAATGGAAATTTAACAACTTCATCTCCTTCCTTGTATGAGTTTCATGCTACTCCCTCTCAAGAACACCTCCACCGGAGTTTTTACTCTGTCGCCAAAACTACCAAATAACACCACCAAGCCACTCCTTTCAACCTTCTCTCTCTTAATCTCTCATCAATTCATACCAAAGATTAAACAATTTCTCTAATTCCATCAAGAAAGTTATAAACCCTAACAATGAAAACTAAAATTAAATGGAGGAGTATGGGAATCAAGCCACTCCATCTTATGGTTTTGATTCCCCTCAGCAAGAGCTACATTGTGGTATTAAAATTTCAACAAATAAAGGAGAAAGATAAATTCACCGACCTGCAAGAGGAAGGATTGTCTTGGAAATTCTTGAAATTTGAAGTTGATGAAGATGAAGAAAACCAGAGGTGTGATACTTTGATCCTTCAATCTTTTTCTTCTACAATGAACTTCTTCTTCTTAAGAATTAACTCTATAGAATTATGAATTGAAGTATGATTGTTGTTGCTACTAATTATATGAGTGTGAGAGTAAAGTGTAGGAAGCTTAGCTTAAATGGTGACAAGCTTGAAGGTGAAACTCGCTCCAATGGTGGTGGAGAGCTTTGGTGAGGTGAAAGAGATTGGAGAAGACGAATTGAGAGAGTGAATTCTGAAATTGCAGTGTGAGAATAAATGGTTGTTGAATGATATTGAAGAGGGTGATAAGTTTATATAGATGAATTTCCAACTGTTTCAGTCAACTTTTCGGCCAGCTCTATTAGAGGTTAGGGCAACACTTAATGTTAGATGATTTCATGAGGAAATTGGTTACAACTCTAACTCTGTTAAATCGTGTTGTTAGTGAGAGTTAATGAGTTTGAAGTTACTTTTAGAAAGTTATTGGTGAGTGTTAGTGAGCTATGCTTAATGGTTATGTTAGAATGAGGTTAGGGTTAGGGATGAAAAAAAAACTATACCCACGGATATCCGCGGATAAAATTCGTTACGGATATGGGGCGGGTAGTTTAATGGATATCTACAGATAAAATAAATGGATATTGTGCAAAGACAGAAGGGAGCTTGACTGTAAGACCCACCCGTCGAGCAGGGACGAAAGTCGGCCTTAGATACCCGTTTGTAAATGGATATAGGTACGATTTTAATGATATATGTTCCCCCAAATATCCATACGCGTTGATAAATTATAAAAATCATTTAATTATCATTAGTTTATTATACATTTTCTTTTCATCTTCTAAAAAAATCAGTCTTCTTATATTTCTTTCTTTCTTTTTTGAAATTTTCTTTAAAGAGAACCTTTCATATTTCATTCAAATTCTATTATGTATTTCATATTTAAACTCTTTAATATTTAATACCTTACTTCAACAATTTCACAGTCTAACCAACATGTCGTCATTCCTCTGTTGAACCAGTGTCTCCCTTCTTACTCCTCTGTCGTCCACTCTTTCATCATAACTCACAATCACAATATCTTTTATTTGTTTGGTTAAAAATGAAATGTGTGGATATTATGTTTGAATCTAATTATGTTGTGGTGAGTAAGAAGAAAATCATTTTGATGTAATTTTATTGTTAAATTAAGAGCGAATTGTATGGATGTTATGTGGTAATAACTTTTTGTGTCTTTAAAAGAAGTTAAAAATATTTTTTTATAAAAAAAGTGTTATCCATGGATATTTGTGAATATCCGCTAATACCATAAAACCCGCGGATTACCCGCTTAACGGATACTCTCGTGGATATGAGGCGAATATGAATATCATATTTATTCAACGAGGTAGATACATATATCATAGTATTCGTCCCCATGAATACTCATTTACATCCTTAGTTAGGGTCTTTCATGAATTGGTGTAAGAATGACTTGGTTCAAAAATATAAATGCTATTATTTGTTGCTGCATTATTGAATGTTAACTGTTATGTGTTGAAAATATTTTGGAAAGGCATTGCTGTGAGATTTGGAAACAGAGTATGGCAATTAGTACAGGTGTAACCGGTTACCTGCTATTGGGTAACCATTTACCAACTTTGGGTAACCGGTTACCAAAACAAAATTTGGTCCTTTTTTGTGTTTGATGCATGTATAAAGTGGTTACCATGCTTTGAATAACTGGTTACCAGCTCAAAAATTTGTGTTTTTCATATGTTTGATGCAGTGACTTGGATATGAAACATAAGGTTTTAACTTTCTCTTATTGTGTATGTGATTTTGCAGGGTTAGTGTGGTCAAGACTTAACATTGGTCAAGGGGTATGAGACTTAATGTCCATGACTCGAGGTTCCTTCATGGAGCCATTTGGACACTTGGAAGCTTTGGAGAAACACAAAGATATGTGATGACTTATAAATAAAGAAAAATGGGATTAATGTTTAGGAGTAGTGGTTGACTTTGGCCAATTGTTTGACCAAAAAGTCAACAGTTGATCAAAAGTCAACTCTATGTAAAAATGATGTAATTTTGTTTTGGGTTTTTTGTAATGGCATGTTGAATATTTTTGTACTGAAATGACTTTTTGAAATGAATCATGTCTTGTATTTTGAAAAAAATAGTTTCCTTCCAAAAATTAGTTTGAATATTTGAACTTATACTTGAATGAACTTGAATGAATCTTGAATTTAAAAGAATGAATCTTGATTTCTTTGATTTGACTTTGAATGAAGTGTTATGCCATGGGTCAAACAAATCAAAGTCCAAGATAATCTCCAAGTAACCTTAATATTAAATGCCATGATTTAGTCAACATAACACAAACATATACCAAAGATTATAGTTCTACAAACTTGATTCATAAGGAATGAACCAACCATCAATGTTGTACCAACATCACATTTGTATAACAATTAACAAAATCCTTAAATTAATGATGCTTATTTAAAAAATGTAATTATGAATGAATGCCTTAAATGATGGTGGATATGCAGATGAAGGAAGTGAGGACCAGAAGTTAAATAAAAATGAAAAAAATAAGACAAATTTTAAGATATGACAATGAAGACTTTTCACTCTTGTATATATCACTTCTTTCATTCATTTTATTCAAATACAAACTAACGAGTTATTTTATTCAAATACAAACTAACGAGTTTCTTGAGTTGCAAATATACACTGCTCGGCCGTTTGATAAGCATAACACCTGAAATATATCTCACTCCTCATTATCTTTTTTTATTCATGAACATAATAATTATAATAGTATTTTAATTTGTAGCATAAAACGAAAATGAAAAAAAAAAGAGTTTTGGTCACATTTTAGGAATGTTAAAGTTGTTGACACACAATATGAATTGAGCATTGTATTGTATGCTAGTGAGACATTTATCCTATTTTTTTTTAACTTTCTTTTCTTTTAAGAAAAAACTTGTGTTTTATTTAATTATTTTTTATATATTTCAATTGATTTAAATAGCTTGGATGATGTTAGAGATATTTCTATGTCTAGTTTGATTAATCATATACATGTATTTTACATTTTCATAAAAATAATCCTACCATAATTATAACTTGTATTTTCATTTTTAGAAGAGAAAAAAGAAAATGTAATAAGAGATAATGTGAACCAATTGTATCAAAATTATAAATATTTTAATTGATTGCTCGTGTAAAACTGAATTATAGTAATTATATACTATCTTTTAACATTTTTTTAAAAGAAAAAAAAATTGTATTTCTAATTTCTAATTCCAATTCCAATTCTAAGTTAGATTCAATTTTATTTCCCATTTCAATTCAAGGATGCCTCACCGTATATTCACTGGATCTCGATTATCGAACCCTAAACTGCACTAGAAGACAAACCATAATTTTCGTTTTCCTTTGTCGTTATTTTAATATCACCTTCCTTTTTTATTTTATTTTTATTTTTATCAATAATAATAATAATAATAAAATACGAGTTTCCTGTAATAAATAAAAATATTACATTTTCAATTGCGAGCTCACCGTTTCATAGACCAATCCATCATCATTACCAATCTCAATTATCACATTTTTCATTATTCTCATACAATATTCTTCAACCTTCGTTCTTATCCCATAAGTTTCAGGTTTTCTCTTAATACGTTTCTGAATCTAACTGATTATATCAATTCTACATAAGAGCTACTTTTTATTATTTTTGAATTGAATTTTGTTACCAATTTTTTTCAAATTTTAACCTAGAATCTTGTAGCTTATCTTATTAGAATTTCATGATAGGTTATTGATTTTGTGTTGCATATTGATTGTAGAAGCTTGAACAAGTGGATTGTTGCTGTTTATTGAAGTACCTGGAATGCAAAGGCCTGTGGCTGTTTCAGCTACACCTCGCGGTGGACTGCCTACCGACAGCAGCGACTCTATCGTGACTTTAGATCAAGTTCCGCGGTGGAATGATACCGATCAGTCGTTAGGGTATGAAAATGGAGAGGCTCCGTTTTCAAATTCTTACTTTCCTGATCCTTTAGCATCAACTTCAGGAGCCGACGGCAGTTCGTCTGTATCGAGATTTCCGGTTGATCATGAAATTAATTCGAGGATTTATTTGTGGAGAGGGAATCCCTGGAATCTTGAGGTGGATGCTGTTGTAAATTCAACCAATGAGGTGGGCGCTCTCTTCCTTTTTTTCCGTTAGTTTGTTGTTTTAGTTCCGCTCATTGATTGTTACGAAGTAGGAAGGTAGAGGAGATGGAAATTCATAGAATTAAAGATGATACACAAGTTAATTGAATGATTTTGAATTATCCTCTAATTGATTAACTAAATGCTCTAACTAATTGATCTTACTTATCTAAATACCTTTGCTTCCCCTCCTGTTTAAACATTAATGTAGCATTGTTGAGCTGAGCACTATCTGCTGTAGACTGCAACAGTGGTACATCATTGCCGGTTTTGGGCTTGCTGATATTGCATGTTTTTCCTCCATAATCCACTGTGGCAGCACCACAAAGCAGCCGGTATGGTGGGATTTTGGCTCTCTGCCATCGACAACACTAGACTGTAGTTTTAGGTTTCGTAACTGCAACACTGCCGTTATTATTGTCATGTTTTCTATCTTGTCATGCTTCATGGGACCCCGTGATGTAACTCTAAGTTCGTTTGCTTATTTGTTTATTCTCTCGAAGATAACCAAGTATGAGAATTTTATGATAAAATTACAAAATTTCCTGCTGGCTTAAAATTACGGTACAAACATCTATCTTATTAGCCATTATTGCAGTGTTATGGACACTTATATGACTTTTATGTTTCTTGCCTTATGTTATCCTTTCTTCATTCTTTTATGAGACGATAAAGACTCCTAGAGAACATGTTGGACCATAAACAAAGGACACCGATGTGGTTAATTTATTATTGAAGTGTTTGTTTTCTCATGAAACATAAAAACTGAAAATGTTCTCCCACCCCTAGGCTATGAAGCACGGACACCTCGAACACGACCTCGACATTGACACGGCGAGATCGGCAATAATTTAAAAAAATGAATAAATTAAACGTAATGACAAGTGTCGGTGCAGGTGTCCGACACGGACACGGACACACCTTTTTTTAGAGGTGTCAGTGCTACATACTCCCCAAGCCTTTTATACATTATAGGGGGACCTTTGATAAGCAACCCACTTTCTATGGAAATGCCTTGACTTTTTTCTTCCGAGCCTACAGTTTTTTTTTTCTTTTTTCTTTTGATATTTAACAATGTCTTGAGGGTAGAAAGGTATAGCTTATGAACTTGGATATAAAAAATTGCATAATGAGAAACTCAGGTTGAAGTAAATTCAAGATGAAAAGAGGAAAACACTTCAGTCGGTTGTAAGAACAAGGGAGATATTATATTATCGATTGTGCTGACTATAGATAGATTAAGTTTGAAAGTCATAGTTATGGAACTATGACAAAATGTAATTAAAGAGAGATTAAGTTCAATATTATACCAGGCAGGCCAATAATGGAAGCAATATGCCTTAACAGAAGATCAAGAGGAGGTAAAATATGGTGCAAATTTCTACGTCTAAAAAACTTTAGAGCAAAGAGAATTTTGTGCCAATCATAATCTAGGGAGTGCATTTGTCACAGTGGATGAAGGGAGTATGAGTGACAATGCTCTCATTGTTACTATGGTGGATGGAGGGAGTTAGGAGGTAGAAGGAAGAGGCTAGTTTTGGCGTTTGAATTGCTTTTCACATCTGCAAGATGAAAGTTGTCCCCTAATTTTCGATGAGAAACTATGTTGGAAAATATTTCCAATCAGTCATGATTTGTTTGATGTTGTCTCATTACCTGTTTTTAAGTCAAATATAGTGCCATTATTTTTGCGCTTTCCAGTCTCTCATTTTTTGGGCAAATCAAATGGTAGCTTAGTGAACCATTTTAAATGTCTGACACAGTAAATGTCTTGTCGAGGAGTTAACACATCATAGAACTTAATGGCATTGTTTGGCCTATGTACCTGACCCTAACTATTAGGAAAACCCTCTAGTTGTTGTTATTACCTGTTTTTAAAACAAATATAGGGCCATTATTTTTGCATTTTCCTGTCCTTTATTTTTCGGGCAAATCAAATGGTAGTAGCTTAATGAACTATTATAAATGTCTGACATCGTAAATATCTTGTTGAGGAGTTAACACATCATAGAACTTAATGGCATTGTTTGGCCTATGTACCTGAACCTAACTATTAGGAAAACCCTCTAGTTATTATTTTTTAGAGGTACTTTTTGTATAATTTAAAAGTCTATGTTGAAATGCAAATATGTTTTTTGGCATTTTAAAGTAACAACTTCATAGGTCAACGATTATGTTTTTCTGATTCAATCAAACAACATTGAGCTATTTTGATCCAAATATCAAGCAAAAAAAGCATGGTCTTTATTCTTAAATAAATAATTTGACTAGTGACAGTTTTTCTTCTTATCCCTTGCTGTCGTATTACTGCGGCTACTTGCAACTGCAAATCAAGCTATATTGCAAAATTTGTTTGCACATGTCATGAGACCTATTAATATTTTTATTATTTGAAATTTATATCGTGCATGTTATATTTTGATTGCATGAATATGAGATATATTCTATATGCTCCCAAGTCCTAATTCATCTCCTAATTGCCAAATCCAAAAGGTTTTTTTATTTATTTTTGTCCTCCAGATATTAAACTCACCGCGCTTTTTATTTAATTCTTATTAACTATTAGGATGTTAAGCATGTTAGGACTGAGCACCAGTAAATGAAATGGGATGGTAATATCTTTTTTCCTATCTGGTTTTCATTTTTTATGGTTGCAGAATATGGATGAAGCACATAGCAGCCCTGGATTGCACGCTGCAGCTGGATCTGATCTTGCAGAAGAATGCGCGACTCTGGTATAGTTAATTATTTAGTAAAATTGTATTATGTGCTCCATGTTGGAAGTGGATAATGTGAGCTTGGGACATAAGATACAAATTTATTATTTTCTATTATCAGTTTTTTTTAATTATTATTATTTGTCGTTCACCATTTCAAAAACTTGCAAAAAGCAGCTTCAGTTAAATTGTCATATTTCAGTAACGTGTTGGGGAAGAAACTTTCTTGATATGATACTCGAGAATATGAACTAATGTCATATTTATTGTCAACAGGGTGGATGTCGAACAGGGATGGCTAAAGTTACCAATGCATATGACCTTCCTGCTAGGTTTGATTGTTGGCCTTCTTTCATTTACTTTTTCAAGTTGAAGAACTTCTTCAGAAGAAGCAATAGTCTCTGTTTTATTAGTAGATCAGTTCTACAATCAATGATGGTTTACAGTTTTTTCTCTTGTTGGTGGAATAGGCATTCTGAATGTATTTGAATATGTGCTGTTGCATTGATTGAAAGGAGCTCTCCCATACTTTCTTTGTAGTATGGTGGTTCTTGGGCATGGAACTTATATATTACTTGTAAATGTTAAATTGCATGCTTTTCCTTTTCCTGTGGTTTGGACTTGAGATGTTTAATATGTCATGATGCTGCACAAATTATGTTGTCGCATTTCACATTTGTATCTTTTGTCACTGAACCATGATCTTTACACTAATAAATTTCCTGTAGGAGAATTATCCACACCGTTGGCCCCAAATATGCTGTAAAGTACCATACTGCTGCTGAGAATGCTTTAAGTCATTGCTACCGTTCTTGCTTGGAGCTTCTAGTCGACAGTGGACTTCGAAGGTTCCCCGTCACCCCAACATGTTATACAATTTATTTATTTTCTTGCAACATTTATTCATTTTGGGAATCTAATGTTTTTTTATAAAGATCACAACTTACTTATCTTAGTCATATGTTGATGTAGCATTGCTATGGGATGTATTTACACCGAGGCAAAGAACTATCCTCGAGAACCTGCTGCTCATGTAGCTATAAGTGAGGTTTTCTTTTTGGCACGATTTTACTTTTTCAGTTTGTTTCTTGTCATATTTTGCTCATGGAAATTCAAATTACAGAGATCATCGTCACTCTTTCATTAAGTTCCAATTATACATAAATTACTAGGCATTAAAGCCGAAGATCAGAAAAATGAGTTGCTGACTTGATATAAAGAAAACAATTTTTGAAGGGAAGGAGAGTGTGAAATAAAATGATAAATTGTCAGTCAATTCCCCACAATTTGCATTAATTGATTTTCTATGTTACCCAGTGGTGTTTAATTAACGATGATAGGGATGGATGACAGGTGCATCCTGACTAAGAAAACAAAATGCATGGGTGTATCATGTTTCTATTTTTTTTTTCATTCCAAAGTCATTCTACCATAATGTACGAATTCTGAAGACTTCAAGTTAATTTATCATGTCCCTGACACCTGTAGAATGCATGTAGTTTATATTTGATTCCTGTTAAGCTGAAAATTAAATCCAGATGGTTGATGGATGACAGTGTTACTCTTAGGCTAAATTTTCTTTTCCTTTAATGTCTTTTATTCAGGAACTGTGCGACGGTTCCTTGAAAAGCAGAAAAACAACTTAACAGCTGTTGTATTTTGCACCACTAGCACAACTGATACTGAAATATACAAAAGGTATTTGCCGCATTTTCTCTTCCTTTCTATTTTGGCATCTGCAGTTTTCTTTTCCTTTCTATTTTTATATCTGCAGTTTCCTTGAAACCAAAATGTGTGTTATTTATTTTTACCTTTCATCTTTTTTCATCTAGGCTGCTTCCACTTTACTTTCCTCGGGATAAACATGAGGAGCAAGTTGCATTGTCGAAACTTCCTGCAGATGTTGGGGATGAAAATGGTGAGACCATCATAGATGAGCGTAAAATCAGAATAAAGCCTTTGCCTAAAAAGAGTGTTTCAAGACCATCTGATGTTGCAGTTGATCTTCCTGTCAGTGATATTGGCCTGGTTCAAAAGTCAGTAACTTTTTTAAAATTTTAAAATTTTTTGTTGATTTCTCAGCATGTTTCATTATGAAAATAAATACTAGGACTGGAAGTCAGGAGAGTCGAGATGCATAATTAATCCAAGCATATATAGATGTTGGTTGACTATATTATATATTTAACATGTTCTATTACAAGTTTACAAGCCTCTGAAGAATGCGTCTGAGCATATTTAGATTCACTTGCTTGCAGTTTAGTTGTATGTGCTGTAATGTTTTGGTTGTATTTGACTAAACAGAACATCGCACATTTTTTAATATCACTTCTGATGGAATTTTCCTGATCTTTGTGTTGTAGGAAATCATCAAATTTAGATTCATTTTTAGATCCCGCCTTTATGTCCTTGATTAAAGACCCTGATCAAAGGCGTCTGGAGCAGTGGGAGAAAACTGCTGAAGCACAAAGAGGCTTTAACTGTGCTAAATTACTTGGATATGGTGACCTCGAGGGGCCTCCATTGTCTGCTTCCGAAGAATATTCTCTACACTCCAGATACCTTTCCAAAGCAAACTCTTTAAATCTTTCTGAAATTGCAGAAATGAAAATTGTGTGAGTACCCATTTATTTCATCATCTGGTTTGCATTACTGTTTTCTAATAAATCAGTTTCATGTTTATAACAGTTCTGTTTTTGTTCTAATAAATAAATTTTAAATTTCATCTCAAGATGGAGTTATAGCCAATGCATTGTCCATGCTTGAAGCCCCAATGGGCTCTTGCATGTGGGTTGCTTCATATACAAAAGTAACAAATCCATTATGTATTTTCACTCAACAGCTTAAGCTTTTGAGATATCTGGTTTATGAAAAAACAATCTTATCGAATGTCAATCACCATTAAACGCATAATGAAGTTTTGAGCTATTTAAAACTTTACTTATTTTTGCTTTCCTTAGCCAATCAATGTGAATGCTTCATGCATGTGTTCAGATTGATCTTTGCTTTTTCTCCCTGGTGAAAAAATGTTCAGGGGGAGGAGAGGTTGCCCCATTTCAAGGTTAGGGGCATGCCACATTTGATTTCTTCTAGTCATACTTGCATTTAATGACTGAAATACATGTGTTTTCCAGCTATCGTGGAGGGGTAGACAGCGAGGGTCGTCCTGTCATGGTTGTTGTGGGGGCTCACTTTTTGCTCAGGTGTCTTGATCTGGAAAGATTTGTGTTATATGTGGTAAAGGTAATTCAGTTATACACTTAAGCTGGACATCTTATGTACTTAAGTTTGTAATTTCTGATCTATGTTTTGTTCGTGTTGAACTTTAGGAGTTCGAGGCTTTAATACAAAAGCCTTATACTATTGTCTACTTCCACTCTGCCGCATCTCTGCAAGTGTAAGTGCAAATATTTGATTTCTTAGATGTACTGATTGGTCTGTTTTTTCATAAAATATATAATATGTTTGCATTTTGCAATATGCCAAGGATTGTTTTCATTGGAAAATGTTCGAATGTGTAAGGGAAGATGGCTTATTGTTAATGCCAGCTAGTTATTGTGTGAATGGTGTGAGATCACTATGCCAAATGAATTAAAATGGTCCGGTAGCCTAAGTTTTCGTAATCTCTTCTGCTTTTTATATAATTAAAGAAGGGAACAAGAAATTCATTAGTCAAGACATGAAATATCAGTTATGCTTTACACATCTACAATAGTATGTTGGTTTCCAAACTTACACTGTAATTGTAGTACTTTGCATAGTTCATACAAAGTAGAAACGTCTGCCTGACCATTGGCTTAGGTCATGGGTATTGGATGGCATGGTATCATGAAGCCACTTAACTTTATGTAGTTACCAAGACTTGATACAAAGCTGATTCGTCAAAAAGACTTAATACAAAGCCCGATATTAAATCTGATCAACCCTATGGTTTGATTCAATGTGACTTTAAGCTACTTTGTTGAGGACAGCTTAGCTATTAAATGCATATTTTTGCCGAGGGCATATATTCTTGTTTACATTTTCAAGGCTGCAGTAAATATAGGCAAGGATACCTTTTTTTTTTTGGATAAATAGTGTTAAAATGAATTGAAGTTGTGCAAATGGAATGTAGCGTGCTTGAATGAAAGAAAGAGGTAAATGGGGAGCTGGAAGAAAATCGCATTTTGAAGTGCAAGTTGCTTTGTGAACTGTGTATAATAACTGTATTTATTAGTTGAGCATGGTTTGTGTGCAAATCCCATGATGCTTGTTTGTCGGCAGTAAATTTTTACCTTTCTCATCCTTTTTTTGGTTTTAGGCAGCCAGACCTGGGTTGGATGAAAAGATTGCAACAAATACTTGGTCGAAAGCATCAGCGCAATCTGCATGTATGTAGTTTTTTTTTACAAAAAAAGGACTGATTCAAATATGCACTATCTCTATTACCCTAATAATGCATTAAACTTTTACACTCTTAATTTTGTATTCTCAATCTAATATGTGTAGGCAATATATGTGCTTCATCCAAGTTTTGGACTAAAAGCAGCAGTACTTGCACTTCAAATGGTTGTTGACAATGAGGTATATGGTGAAGTCTAAATATATTTAAGAATCTCATATTCATCTATATTATATTATACATTAAAAGTTGATTTTCAGGTTTGGAAGAAAGTGGTATATGTTGATCGACTTCTGCAGCTCTTTAGATATGTACCCCGTGAACAGTTGACCATCCCTGATTTTGTGTTTCAGTTGAGTCTTTGTTTTCACCATCAACATTTTTTTCTAATGCTATTTTGTACAATGCCTTGCTTTCAATTTATGGTTTCTAAAAATAGTTGGAGTGGAAAAAGTGCTAGCATATTGGGTGTGCCGATTGATAATTTGTTGTATACTTTTTATTCACGCAGGCATGACTTGGAAGTGAATGGGGGGAAGGGTGTCATTGCAGATCCCAGAACAAAATTTGTGTATGATAAACCGTAATTCGCATGTGGCCATAAGCTGAATTAAAAGGGAATCGCATGTGCACTTTCCTCATTATTTGCCTTTTCCCTTTTCCCCGGCTATGTGTTTTGGTAATATGTAGCATTTTTTCTTTTAATTTTATTCATTTGAAGGAATGATAAGTTTTTCTGTATCTTCTGTATGTAATTTATGGTGGAAGCTAGATGGTTGCCTGTTATGATTGTTTTGTACATTCAAAGAAGCATATTTTGAATAAAATTATTGTATTATTATTACTTGTAAATAGTAGAGTACTTGCGAATGTTTGAATGAGGTTTATTGAATTACTATGATCAATTTTTTTTGACAAAGGTTAAAAAAACTCACAAATAGAAAATATATATAGAAAAAAACAATAAAGTCAGGTTATATTAAGTTTGTTACACAATTTCCAAAAATTATTTTTTATATTTATCTCTTAACTTGTGTCTCAAGAACACAAATTAGTATTATCCATTTTTTTAGTGTGATTATATATGGTTATGATTATTGTATGCCCGTGGTTCCAGACACTGTTCCCACGATAGCCACCTGACACATTCACCTCTTATATTCATTTGACATCGCTACCACCTGACACATTCATTTCTTATATTCATTTGACATCTTTCCACGATAGTCACCTGACACATTCACCTCTTATATTCATTTGACATCGCTACCACCTGACACATTCGTTTCTTATATTCATTTGACATCTTTCCACGATAGTCACCTGATACATTCACCTCTTATATTCATTTGACATCACTACCACCTGACACATTCATTTCTTATATTCATTTGACATCTTTCCACGATAGCCACTTGACACATTCACCTCTTATATTCATTTGACATTGCTGCCACCTGACACATTCACCTCTTATATTTATTTGACATTGCTGAGAAAGTTAAAAAATTGTAACATGAGTATTGATCTAAATCAGGTTGTGATGTCTTTAAATATATTTATATATTATTAATTAAAGTGATTTTTTTCTGCTTTGCCACTTTATTACCTACAAAATTTCATAATACCATTAGTTTCAATAAATATACTAAACTGCCGTGTTTTAAGAAAAACTTCAATATGGTAACAAGGGTGCCATCCTTTCAAAGGGTGGCAGTGGTTACACAATTTCTTTCTTAATTTTACTTATTTCTGTAATTAAATGAAAATATTTTTTAATATAATAATTATGATTTAATTAAATTTAATTAAATTATTATAAATAATAATTATGAATAATAATTATAATAATAATTATAAATAATAATTATAAAATTATAAATAATTTAATTATGTAATTAATAAATTTTGCAATTAAGACTATATATACTATATAGTTAATAAATAAACTAATAATAAAATAAATTAAATAATAACTGAAATAAATATTTATTCATGAAATAAAAAGAGTACATTAAACTCTTATTTATCCTTGATTTTGACCCAGTTGATGAAAGTGTTGGTGAGTTTCACAGGCAGAAGTTTGTCTAATTCGGGTGGACCTTCTACGATCAACATCAACATTTGTATGCTGAATAGAAGGTCATGCATCATTTTTAGGATTTATGAATTCAGCAACCATATCATCACTAAACTCGTCCACAATTGGTATCGTCACCGCACTGACATAACTTTATCTTACTTCAATTTGGTAGGGTGGTAGGTGGCATTGTGTTAGTCATGTAGGAGTGTATAGGTGTTGGTCTTGAGATGAATTAAGGGTGAAAGTTTGTGAGGGGTGAAAAGGAACTTGTAGTTGGGGTGTTTGATAGTTGTGTTCTTGTGGGGTAGGTTGAAAGAATGAGTATTGGTTATATTGGATAGTGGATTGTGTTTGTTGTTGGGTGTATGGAGACGATGAGTTTTATTGTTGGGTGTTGAAGGGGGTTGAGTTAAATGATAGGTATGGTTGATGGTAGTGTTGGCTTGGGATATAAGGTTGTTGTGTTGGGTTGAAAGGTTGTTAAGTGTTAAATGTTTATTGTTGGATGTTAAACATTTATTGTGGGGTGTTAAGTATTTGTTGTAGGGTTTTAAATGTTTGTGGTTGAGTGTTACATGTTGGTCTGATGTGTTGGAAGTTTGAAGATGTGGGTTGGTTACGAGGGTCAAATAAGTATCTACTTTGTGATAGATACAAAATGATCACAGATTTATACCAATTCATGTATTCCCTACTGGGTTTACATTCAGTATCCATGATTTCTCCTTGTAAGACAGTTTGGCGACGATTTTTTCATTGTTGATGTTCTTCTCTATTATGGTCTATCCAATTGTCAAATTTCCATTACTCTGTCGTTTGACTCTTGTGGTACTTCTCCATGCACCTAGGTGGGCCAGGAATATCTTGTTGAATTTCAAATTGGAGTTTCACCTTATCCGAATGATACATTTCAACATAAGTGAAACAAATTATAAATATTGTAGAACTCCACATGTCACTTTCAGTCAGATCCTCATCTTCAAGTCCAAGATATGGCCTCCATAGAAACTGTAATGTAGTTGAAAAAAGGATTAGTTAAAAAAATTATAAATAAACGTTACCGTTAGTAGTACAAGTCTTAAAGATAATACATCATCCGCCTCAAAATGATCGAAGAACGTCCAATATCCAGGAGCACAATGATGAGGGATTTTGTCATAATTCATCCCATATGTGGACCACCTATAAAATAAATAGTTAGTAAAAATTTTATATATAAAAAATATAAAGAAATAAATTTTGTATACTTACTTGGCCGCATATGCAAAGTGGTATGAATTGAGGTTTGTTGGTGTCAGACTTGGCATTCTGGATCATCCCCAAGTTGAATCAAAACTCCACAACCAGCAAAACTATACACATTTTTTTAGCGCATCCACATAAATTTCTATATAGATGCGCTAAAGTAGAAGTGCCCCAACTATATCTACTTATTTTATTTATATCTTTTATTAATGGTAAAAATTGAGGATGGATATTGTTACCATTAGTATTAGGAAATAATAAGCATTCAAAAAGTAAAAAGTATACATTCTAGTTTTCATAATTTTCAGTTCCTCTGGAGAGTCCTTGTTCAATGTCAAAACTTTGTAATGTCTCCTTAACCATGTAATTTTAATGCATTTCCCCTTTCTATCATCGACCTCCAAAGGCACCCCCAATAGTTCTTCAACTTCGTAAATCATGTTTGTGTAGCCAACAACCGTTAATCCATTCACACACAGACCCACAACATATGGACATCCTTCAAAGTGACGGTGCATTCACCTGTGGGACAGTGAAATGTGTGAGTTTCTGGTCTCCATCTTTCGCACAAGGCGAGAAGAAAGTTTCAATCAATTCCATATGAAGTAATGTTGATGACGTGACCGAAACCCACTTGAATCAAATATGGGCGAATAATCTCATCGACCTTTACGTATTTATGTGAGCGTGGTTTGAAGCTTTGTTCATCCTAAAAAAAATTATATAACATTATAACAAATTATATAAAAATATATAAACATTATAAAAAATTATATAACATTATAATAAATTATATAAACATTATAAGAAATTATATAACACTATAATAAATTATATAAATATTATAAGAAATTATATAACATTATAACAAATTATATAAATATTATAAGAAATTATATAACATTATAATAAACTATAAAAAATTATAATTATAAGAACTTTTATAGACATTATATAATAAATTATAAACATTATAATTATTATAACAAATTTATAATGTAAGAAATTATAGATATTATAATAAAATTTGCTAGAAAGGTTGAAAGAAATTTATAATTATTATAAAAAATTTATAATGTAACAAAATTATACACATTATAAAGAAAGGTTGAAAGAAATTTTAACATGACACTTACATATGCTGCAATATTTGTAGGTGTTTCTCGATGATTTTCTCCTAATGTTAACAAAGTCATTTTGTAAGAGTAGTGGATATGAATTTTGTAAGAGTGGTAGATGATTTTGGTGAAGAGATGAATTGTGTGAAAGAGACGGTGAGGTATTTATAGGAGTTGAGATGATAAATGTGAATAAAATTGGTAAGTAATATTGGTAGAAATATAAATGTGAGATGATAAATGTAAGTAATTTTGGTGTAGATGATAAAAGTAACGTGTCTTCTGCATGCATGGCAATTTTTCAAATTGTGTTGACTTCCGCCTTTCAATGGGCGGCACAATTAATGTGGCTCTGATTGTCGTGTTCTGAATGGGTGGCAGAATAAGTATGGCTTTGAGTGTCGTGTCTTGAATCGGCGACAACCTTACAGTGTTATCGTGTCCTAAATGGACGACATCTTTAATGTTTTCACTCTTTCTCCCTTTCAATGGGAGGCACCCTATTACATGATGCTGACAACCACATCTTCAATGGGCGAGAGTGTGTTACAACATTTTTTACCATTTGTCACGTGCATTCAGCATGCATCAATGTGAGCAAAATTCCAAAAACCATATCATTTCCTTTATAACTATTATTTGATCTCACAATTTTTACACACACACCAAACATTTTCATATAATTTGTTATTGCAATTTTTACACAAACACCAATCATTTCCATCACATATTGTTATATGATGTCTAATATTCCTAAATATATTATTAATGCCCATTACAATATTGTATCTGATGAAGTGAGCTTGATCTTTGAAAATACTGAAATTAGTCGTTTTAGTTGTTTCAGTATTAATAGAAAGTCGTCATTTCAATATTTTAAAGAAAGAGTAGAGATGAAGGTTCAAGCAGGATCATTTCACGGATTACTTACAGAAATTTCCATTTTGGAAACAATCAATTTAAATTTGTTCCATTGAAGGTTCGTGACGACGAGGATGTTGAAACGATGTTCTCGAATCATGAATGTTCTGGGTTTCCGTACATTGATTTGTATATAACATTTGAACAATGTCAATAAACCCAAATATCATAGGTAATCAATGCATCAGTAGAAGAAGCACCAACCATAATTCAAAACGAA